GCCACATATCAACGTCTTGTCAACAAGATGTTCGCAACATTGATCGGACACACTATAGAAGTGTATGTTGATGACATGCTCGTGAAGTCGGTGCACGCCTCTGATCATATAACGCATCTTCGAGACATGTTCGCCATCCTCCGATGTTATTCCATGGTACTGAATCCAAAGAAATGTACCTTTGGAGTTGAATCCGGAAAGTTTCTAGGCTATATGGTTAGCCAGCGCGGGATAGAAGCCAATCCGGCCAAAATAAAGGTCATTCAAGATCTAACTCCCCAAACCTCGGTCAAGGGTGTCCAGGCCCTAACCGGCCGACTTGCTGCGCTCAACCGGTTCATCTCCAAGTCTACAGATCGTTGTAAGCCGTTTTTTAAAGCAATTAAGAAAGGGAAACGTTTTGAGTGGACTGAGGAATGCCAAAAAGCTCTCGACAATCTCAAGGAGACGCTGATCTCGCCCCCGACTTTGCAAAAGCCGAAACCCGAGGAGATGTTGTTCTTATACCTCGGAGTTAGTGAATCTGCCATTAGCGCTGTTTTGATACGCGAAGAAGGATTGCAGCAATCACCTATCTATTATGTCAGCAAGGCCTTGCACGATGCCGAACTACGTTATCCTCCGATGGAAAAGTTAGCATTTGCACTTGTGATAGCAGCCCGAAAATTACGACCCTACTTCCAAGAGCATTCTATAACTGTTCGCACTTCATATCCACTTCGGCAAATCCTGCACCGACCTGACACCTCGGGGCGCATGGTTAAATGGGCCATTGAGCTCGGACAATTCGACATCCACTATCAACCGAGGACTGCAATCAAGGCCCAAACCTTATCTGACTTTATCGCCGAGTTTACCCCGGCCATCACAGTTCACTGTAATAATCAACCATGGGTCCTCTACATAGATGGCTCTTCAACAGCCAACCGAGCAGGCGCAGGGATAGTCTTAGCCGATCCAGAGAATCGGTTATTCTGTCATTCGGTGAAATTCCTCTTTCCAGCAACAAA